GGGGGGGGGGTAACATAGATGAGAGGATGCTGATTGTTCCACTATTTCAAAAAGCCCAGGTGTCCACCTTTGTGCAGGTTCATTTCTAGGGGCCACTGTCCAGTAGGAGATGCAAAGAGCCCTTTAAAAGGGGGTATTTTATCAGCAAGGCTTTGTTTTACGCGTCATGCTGACATTCACTTTTACTTTCTGGGTGGCTGAATGTTCAAGATTCAGCTGCATTCACTGAAAAGGAGGGAAGCCAACATTGGGCTAAAAGAATTTAGATCGCAAATAACATTCTGCAGCTAGTGCCTCTGTGCCATGTCACCCCTCGTCACCTGTTCCTCAGATGTACATGTGCACTGCCCATGTCCAGAGGGATCACCCCCATAGTCTGCCGTTCGAATAGCGTTCTCTGGAGTTAGGCACGGTCTGCACAACCAACACAACTTGGGCTCCACAAATGACCAGTGAGGAGGAAGGGATAAAGATAGGCTAGTTCAAGAGAGACCTTGTGGGTGAAGGAATGCAACTGAACATGCTCCAGAACAGGAGGCCCAGATGCTGACAATTTCATTCCGCAGAGGCATTCGGGCCACCAGGAGACAGGCTCGGGTGCGCCTCTTGGCAGGCTGCCAACCATGCAGAGCCCTAGGCAAGTGTCAAGGGTTCTGGGAGGCAAGGACATGCTTCCTGACCTCTCCCCCTGACGCTTATACACCAGCTGAATAGCCAAAGCGGGTGTAATAAGTACATAGAAAGAAAACAAAGAAAAGGGGAGAAAAGGAAGATACGTGCAGGACCATGCTAAACAGATGGCATTAAGAACTAAAGGATTTGGAAGAGCCATATCCCAGGGGACTGAGGAAGTGGGCTCAGCCATGCCTGGGACAGAGGTCAGCCTTAACCAAAGGAAAGGAGAGAAGGAATGTTCCAAGCCATGTGGAGACTAGGAGGGGGCTGGCTCTGGGGTAACTCATGACCCCATTTCCTCTGCTCATTCGACGGGGGGCCAGCCTCTCTGCTGTGATTTCCCATGCCCGATTCTTCTGTAGTACAATAATGCTCCTATTTTAGGAAATTTGGACATAATCCTCACATTGCTAAGATGTGCCCTCTTGTATCAATCTTCAGGACGACCGTTTCTTTGACAAACATGAATAGAAAGAGTTCCAAATTTTAAAATGTCCCAAAGGACAGTTCATGTCAAAACAGGTGAGCTGACATTCCCTAATTCGGACCAGCAGATGTCAGTCTTTATGCAGTAATCAATCCAACAGCCCCCAAAGACTGAACAAGATAAATGAATTCAGAGTAAGTATAAATTTTCCACAGCAGCCCAGTCTTCAGATAGTTCTATTAGTAAACAGAAATGGTCCCCAAAAGACCTTGCAGTCACTGCTGGTACCCACAATGGACCCTATGTGTCAGATGTCCTGCACAGCCTAGAAATCTGTGTCAAGAATATTAGATTTGCAACTGCTAATCAAAGGAAGACCAAAAAAATCTGCTCCAGCTTTAGGTGGAAGGGAAGCGNGAAATCTGTGTCAAGAATATTAGATTTGCAACTGCTAATCAAAGGAAGACAAAAAAAATCTGCTCCAGCTTTAGGTGGAAGGGAAGCGGGGAGAATAGCATATCACTAATTACACCCATGGTGAAAATAATTGTCCAGATTGCAGAGCTTTCCCCATCTGATGAGGGCACTTTGGAGGTGAAGACCATGCAGTGAAAACACTGCCAGACTAATGCTAGACTTAATCTAAATATAATGGGCTGGGGAATTGTTCCCCACGATTTGCTCACCTGGACCCTCCATCTCCCGCGTTCATTCCTGTGGGAGCACTGTTGCCCTCAGCAGCTTTCATCATACACAGTCAGCTTGCCATTCTCCCCTTCCAGGGACTCCCCATAGCTCTCAAAATAAAATGTAAACTCTCTGCAATAGCCTGCAAGGTACTGTGTGGTCTGGCCCCTGCCTATCTCACCCTGCATTACCCTCTCCACTTCCCCACCCACAATGGCCATTTTCCTACTCCAAGAATAAACCAAATGCATTCAGCCTCAAGGTCTTTGCACTCACTGTTCCCTCATCCTGGAACTTTATTTCTGAAAATCTTTGCCTACTTGCCCCCTCATTCATTCAGGTCTCTGGGAAAATGCTGCCTCTCAGAAAGGATGTTCCTGATCATTCTGCTAGAATATAACCACCCACAATCCTACCAAATGCCTCTTTACTTTATCCTCTCACCCTACTTTACTTTTGTTGTTCTTGACCTACCATTCTGTGAAATTATATATTAATTAATTTGTTTGTTACCTGTCTTCTGTATTAGAATGTAAACTCATGAGGGCAGGAACCTGTCTATCTCATTTACTTCTCTGTCTCCCATGCTCAAAATGTACTGCCTAATGCACCCATATTTGTTGAAGGAATATAGGAAATTCATTCTCTTACCTCCACAAATTTATTTTCTCTTTCTGTTCATAGCACTACCTTTATCCTAGTCAAATTACAAAACTTGGGAGTATTTTTTACTCATCACTATCCCTCATTCTTACCTTCAGTCATTGCCAAGACCTTTCTAGTCTTCCATCCCATTCCTCCACCTCCCACTCTCACAGACACTACCTTAAACAACTGTCTTGTCATCTCATACCAAAACTATTACAATTACTTTCTAGTATTTCTACCTCCAGTCCATCCTGCCCATCATAGTAGCTTCACTGTCATTGCCTTCAACAAATCATGACCTCCTATTACCCCATCCCACCCCAACAACAGACACACACACATGCTCACGCACCCTCCCAACAACCTGAGTTCAGAAACGATCAGAATAAAATCTCCACTATTCCTCTAAGCAAACCCTTTCCCCAGTTAACCCCATCTCTCTGTTCCTTGATTTTGCCTTGCCTTATCCCAGACGTTGTGCACACTGTTCCTCCAGAAATATGCTTCACTCATTATTCTGATTAAATCTCCTTCCTCTTTTTCATATCCCAACTCAAATCTTCCTTTCTTTATAAAACTCCCATTGACCACTACACACCATAGTAATGTCTCCTACCTCTTGCCTTTTGCCTATAATACCGATGTGGTTCTTCTAATTATTTAAGGCCTTAAATTATCTAATGCTTCACACACACACACACACACACATTCAATTAACTTGCTGGGCATCCTACCCACCTCCAAATACTACCACATTGGTTGGGGGCAGGATGTGTTACCATTCACTCTCTACCCATATAAAGTTATAGAACACAGGTTCTATAATTGGTTTAATTCCCTAAGGTTTGGGATGAATAAACTGAGTTCTAAAAAGGCTAAGGGACTTATTAAACAGCACTTTGCCAGGTGTGACGATCTGACTTCTGTCTCTGGTTTTAGAAGGACCCTCACCTCCAGAATAATACATTTGTCACAAAGTTCTCTTTTTCCAGACAGGATCTAATAGAATATGTGGTAGTTCCTCTCTCTAGGCTGCTGGAAAATCACCTGGGACTTTTCAAGCAAATCTTTGATGAGAAATGGGTTAAGGCACATATTTAGATGGTCTTTCAACACTGAGAAGAAAAGCCATCAGACAGTGTGAAAGCCACTTACAGATGTCAATGTCTGCAGATGACAGCTCGCCTCTGGCACAGAAGTGCATCCTGATGAATTTGCCCTGGGTGGACACAGAACAGTCTCCTATTGAAACATCCCAAACAGTTGCTATGGCTTCATTATGCACATTACCCACAGAGACACTACTTCCCTAAAAGTTAAAAAGCAAAGAACAAAAAAGACAACACTGTTCTGAGGTAGCACAGGCCAATGTCCGGAGGCAGCCAGAACAAGCGCCAGGACCAGCAGTGGTCCTGGATTCCAGCCTCAGATCTGCTGATTGCCAGCTGTGTGTTCTATGTGAATTACTGAATCTCTTTGGGCCTCAGCGTTCTTATCAAAAAACGAGAAAAATAATATCTGCTTAGCATATTCTTTCATTGATTCAACAAATATTCATTGAGCATCTACTATGATCCAGGAAACCTGCTAGGCACTGGAGATGCCACATTAGAAAAACAGACGCAATCCCTATTCTTCTAGATTCTAGGTGTAAGCAGCTAATGCAAGGGCTCTAACGCAGGGACATTTGGCATGTCTTGAAATCAAAAGAAAAGCTAGTTGTGCCGGAGTTTAGCGAGAAAGAGAAAAGGTTACAAAAAACAGAGTCTGAGAGGTAGACAGGCACTGGGCAGCATTTCATGGAAACCACATGGGCCCAGGAAGGAGTAGGGTTTTAGTAGATGTGTGCTTGGGAGACACTGGGAGGTTTTAAGCAGAGAAGTGACATGATCTATGTTTCAAACCACCACTTTGATAAAAATAATAGATGGGGCTTACTTACTTCTCAATGAAAAGCTNGATAAAAATAATAGATGGGGCTTACTGACTTCTCAATGAAAAGCTATGGACAGGATCTAGTGGTTCAGAAAGGCTGCCTGGAGGCGACAGAGCCCACTGCAGCCAACTGGCCGGCCGCGNCAGAAAGGCTGCCTGGAGGCGACAGAGCCTGCATCAGAATACCCACTGCAGCCAACTGGCCGGCCGCACAGCTAGAGCCTGCGGGCGGCAGCTAGAGCCTGCGTGCGGCAGCTAGATTCTGCGGGGTGCCGATGCTGGTGCTGGGGGTGGAGGCCTGCCCCTGGGAGGAAGGAGTCAGGGCAGGGCAGCAGCCTGGCAAGGGAAGGAGAGTCGCCGCATAGAGGGGTTTGAGCCAGCAAGTTAAAAAATGTAGGACAATGGGAGCCACACACACAAACATACATACATAACGCGCATACATGATATGTACATCTATTCACATTTATACACATGCATACATAATATTAATTGAAAAACATTTAACCCAGGGTTTTAGCTTTTGAATCCCGTTCTCTCTTCCCTCCCTCCCTCGCCTTCATCTATCTTTCTCTATTGTTCTTCTCTGCTCTTTCTTTCTAACCTCCCAACTTTTTTCTGTTCTTTTCCATTGCTTTCCTTCCCTCTTATTTATCTTTCTTTCCTCTTGATAGTCTTTCCTTTCTTCCTTTTTTACTGTCTTTTCTTCCTCTTCTTCCCTTTTCCCTTCCTTTTTCCCTCCCTCTCTGCCTTTCCTTCTCTTAAC